GGTCCCTCTCCCCTGGCAGAGGCAGAGGAGTTCGTGCTGGTGCCGCTGCACTCAGCCCCACACGATGCTGTTGCCGAGATCGATGCGCTCTACGACGTCTACCTGGCCATCGTCAGCAAGTGGGGGACTGACGTGAGTGGCATCAGTGCTCGGGGTGGTATCGAGGGTGGGTGCTGAGATCCCTGCTCCAAGGTGAGCATGGCTGGTGCAAACATGTTGGAATAGGCACCCTGCTCCTGCTCCGTGCCTTGCCATGGGGCGTATCCCGACACCCAGGGCTGACCCCCACGGGATGGCTGGCGTTAGGGGTGTGAGGGCCCGCCCCGTTCCCCAGCCACCACGAGCTCCCCCATCTCGCCACCGCAGAACATCATGTTCCTGGGGGACTTCAATGCCGACTGCTCCTACGTCCAGCCAAGCGACTGGTCAGCCATCCGCCTGCGCACCAGCAACATCTTCAAATGGCTGATCCCCGACGGCACCGACACCACTGTGGGGAAGTCAGACTGTGCCTACGACAGGTGAGCACCGCTGTCCCCCTCCCCAGCACCCCTGGGGTCTCCCCTGCCTGTCCCACATCTCCAGTGGCGAAGCGTGGGAATGGGACTGGGACCCACCGCCCGCGTCTCCCCGGCAGAATCGTGGTGTGTGGCGCCAAGCTGAAGAGAAGCATCGTGCCAAATTCAGCTGCTGTCTACAACTTCCAACGCACTTTCCAGCTCGAGCAGGAGGAGGTGAGCCGGGCTTGCAAATTCGGAGTTCAAACAGGCCCCAAAGTTGAGCTGGCCCAGGGCAGCGCTGGCTGCTGACATCTGTTGAGGATTAGCAAGCCCGGGGCAGCCATGTAGGGGCCACATTTAAGTATTGGCTCAACAATGGAGCCAAAGCAGCTCCAGCAGCTGCAGGAGCTGGCTCTGGCTGCAGCACGTGTGCCCCTACCCAGCTGGGATGTCAGAAGAGCACAAGACACGCTCCCCTCTCAGCCTACAGCAGCCCCCAGCCAGCTGATGGGGAGCCCGACATGACAAAGGATGCATGGGTGGAAACAGGAGGGGGGATCTGGGGTCATTGCCAGTCTCCCTGGAGAGGAGATGAGACACACGGGCTTTTTCATGGCCCTTCATGGGCAACTGTGGGCAGGACTCCAGGATGTGGGGCAATCCAAGGATCTTCAACCACCCAGAGCTGGCACAGAGCTCTCAGGTGAGGCATGGGGGGGCTCGGAGGGCAGGTGTCCCCCGCCAGCACCCACCACAGGTCATGCCTGGGCATGAGAGATGCCAAAACTGAAGCCTTGGTTGAGTGTCTTGGGGTTGGGGACATCATGTCCTCCTCCAGCAGACAGGTTCTGGGAGGGCAATCACAGCCATCCTGCCACCCCACTGGCACAGTGAGGGGCTCACTGGACTCCTCCGTTACACCTCCCCACCTCTCGCCCTCCTCCAGGCCCTGGCAGTCAGCGACCACTACCCGGTGGAGGTGGAGCTGATGGCTTGAGCTCCTCCTGCGGCCAGAACACAACCCCGCCCC